GAACTTCCAGAGCAGGGGTTGGCAAACATTTTGACCCGAGGGCCACATCTGCATATGGAAATTGTATGGCGGGCCATGAATTCTCACAAAATTGGGGGTTGGGGTGTCGGAGGGGGTGAGGGCACTGGCTGGGGGTGCAGGATCCGGGATGGGGCCAGAAATGAGGAGTTCAGGGTGTGGGAGGGGGATCAGGGCTACAGCAGGGGGTTGGGACACGGGGGTGGGGCTGGGGATGAGGAGTTTGGGGTGCAGAAGGGTGCTCCTGGCTGGACCGAGGGGTTCGGAGGGTGGGAGGGGGATCAGGGCTGGAGTGGGGAGTGGCTCAGGGGTGCAGGCTCCAGGCGGCGCTTACCTCAAGCGGCTCCCAGAGCAGCGGCATGTCCCCCCTCTGGCTCCTACACGGAGGTGGCTCTGCTGCGCACTGACCCGTCCACAGGCACCGCCCCTGCAGCTGTCATTGGCTGTGGTTCCCAGCCAATGGGAGCTGTTGGGGCGGTGCTTGGGGCGGGGTGGCATGCGGAGTGGAGTCCGCTGGCTGCCCCTATGCGTAAGAGCCAGAGGGGGGACATGCCGCTGCTTCTGAGAGCCGCACGGAGTGGCCCCTGACCCTGCTCCCCGGCTGGAGCGCCGGAGCGGGGCAAGCCCCAGACCACACTCCCCAGTGGGAGCTCAAGGGCCAGATTAAAATGGCTGACAGGCCGGATGTGGTGCATGGGTTGTAGTTTGCCCATCCCTGTTCTAGAGCCCTGCGCAGATACAAAATCTGTATCCGCGTCTGATCCATGATCCCCAAACATGGTCTATGGATAGCCGCATCTGCATCCACAGATATAAAGCGGATACCTGGAGATTTGCAGGGCTCTGGCTATAAAATTTATCCATTCGTAATCTGCAAACATGGTCTGCGGATATCGACAGATTTTCAGGGCTCTTACCTACTTCAAAGAGCCATGGAAGCCTCTACATAAGATTCTGGGGAACATCTAAGCACGATTGCTGGCAAATAGCTGAATGTGTGGGATGTGTTATGGAAATTATGGATGTATTATGTGATTATGGTTGGCAGACCTGCTGAATTAGCAAAACAGATAGATTTGGGAGTCATCAGTAGCTGTGGACCCGATTCTCCTCTCAGTTACCGGTGAACTCTATTGTCTTCTGGAGGATTTGGCCTTGTGAGTGGGTTTTTGTTGCTACTTCCACTAGACTTATTTAAAAACCTGCTCATGCCCTTACATGGAGAAAAGTATAAAACCTAGAGCATTTTGGCCCTTCCTTTCCCAGTCTACAAGATTATTTTTGACAATAAAAGCACTTACAACAAAGAACTATTCTGGCCTGAAATTCTGTATGGCAAAATGGGGCTTAATCTTGCTCCTGTCTGAAGTCAATGGAAAAACTTTACTGACTTCAGTGAAGCAGGATTGAGCTCTGAATCTGCAGCTTAACTCCACTGAATTCAACATTTCTTGGGGGATGAATTTGTTTTCATATGTACTCCTGTCTATATACGAGGTATAACCAAAGCAGCTATCGCTTTAGAATTTTAGCTTTTCTTCTGTTCCTCTGATCCTTGTTTTGATGAGGTTTGAACAATGTTGGTAAGTGTGTAACAGTAACTACAGATGAGCTGTTCTATAGAGAAACAGTTTCAAAACAGATAGGAATCAATTAAACATCTGAATCTTAAACAACCATTTGGTTTTAAGCAGCCTAAAGCCCTTTAAAAGGCTGATGTAACTGTAAATGTGCCCTTAGGAAAAACACAATTTTAAAGTTGGTGAAAGGGGGAAAGTCCATTGTATTCCTGGAAACTGATGCAAAATGTTTCAAAAGCTGCCGTATTTTGGGTGCATCGATATTTGGGTGCTAGGTGCTTGAGGCATGGGCCGTGAAGCCTTATCTCTTTATGGCCAGTAATTCTGGGGAATGTAGTCTTGGAGTTATATTACTGATCATGTGAGCAAGGCAAGATATAAAAGGAAAAACCTGATGCTTACTCTGGGAGAGACTTGGATAGAATAGGTGTTGTGTTTGGGTTAATCTATGGAGAATGCCTTGGAAGGAGCAGTGATTTTTGGAGCTGAGGAAAAAGAGGCATAAATATAGTCTGGAGAAGAATTCCAAGAAGGAGTAAATGATGTGCAAATGTAGCCTTGGGCTTAGGCTTTGTGGACAGATTCCTGGTGAGAAGGAGCCTTGAGGGGAAGAACTGGAAGGTAATTGGAAGATAGTCTGAAGAACTGCTAGAGATTTTATGATGGTGGCAGAGGTGAAAGTAAGCCGGTCCAGTATGCTGTGCCGGACCGGACCAGCTTCCCCAGCTGTGATTTAAAGGCCCCGGGGCTCTGGCAGCTGGGCTCCAGCGGTGATTTAAAGGGCCAGTTGGCTCCAGCTGCTGTCAGGAGCCCTGGGCCCTTTAAAGTGCCACCGGAGCTCTGACAGCGGGGCTTTAAATCCCTGCCCGAGCCCGGCTGCCAGAGCCCTGGGGTAGCGGCGGCAGGGCTCCTGCGGTGATTTAAAGGGCCCAAAGCTCTGTGGCAGCTAAAGCCCCAGGCCCTTTAATTCGCCCCTGAGCCCTGGGGCTCTCAGCCACCTCTGCAGCTGGTAGCTCCGGGGTGATTTAAAGGCCCGGGGGCTCCCAGCCACAGCCGGAGCCACGGGGCCTTTAAATCTTGATTGGCCTCAACTGGAAGAGACGGGGCCTTTAAATCTTGATTTAAAGGCCCCGCTTCTTTCAGTTGAGGCCACGCCCCCTCAGGACTCCAATTTACCGTTAAATCCTTCAAGTTATTTTCACCCCTGGGTGGTGGTGAATCACACTCTAAGAGCGGTAGCTCTGTTTGAGACTTCATTAAACCAGAATGATCTTACCTTGAAACTGGTAAGTTTGTGCAATTACACCAAAAGCACTAACAGATGGGGAAACTGAGACATGGTCCACCCAGGAATGTCAGGACCAGGATAAGCTGACTGTGTGACAGATGTCCAACTTGATACAGCCTGGTCTTGATTCTTCAGAAATGCTGTGTCCCCAGTTCCATTTGGTATTCTATTGTTCAACAGTGCAATTAATCGTGATTAAATTTTTATCGCGATTAATTTTTTTGAGTTAATTGTGTGAGTTAACTGTGATTAATCGACAACCCTAGTATAATGCCACTGAAGTTAGTGGTTATATCAGTGTAAAACTGGGGTACATTAGAGGGGAATAGCCACAAGAAATTTTGTGTTTGACTCTTTTGATGTCCTTGGACCTGCCATTACATCTCATCATATCCTCATGTCTAAAAGGGGGTACTAAAGAGTGTTGTGAGAATTAATTAATCAATGGGTGTAACCTTGTGATTTTTTTTTTTTTTTTTGAGTTGGAAGATTTTTGCTTCCTCACTTACAGAGTCTGGTCTAACTCAAAAGAAATCCAGTTTTGTAGCACTTTGCAATCTATCAAGTGAATTTCAGGAGAAGAAATATGGAGTAGTCAGTGTTTAGATTTGGCTTGTCTGAGGTTGGTATGTTGTCAGAAGGACACAAATTTAAGTATTCTCATTTGAAGAAAATAAGAGGCTACACTTCTGTAAATGAGAATATGGTCTCATGATTTGACCAGAGGGCCGGGAGCCAGGAGTTAAAATACTGGCTTTGGTACTGACTCCTTTTCTGGTCATTAGCTGTTCACTTAACAGCTCTTCCTCAGTTTCCTCAACTGTATAATGGGATTATTATCTAGCTCGTGGGGGTTTTGTGTAGATTAAAGCACTTTTGTTAAAATATTTTGCATTCTTCAAGTCTCTGTAGAATGGGGATGTTGCTGTATATTCATGTGATCAGGAAAGACACCAAATTTGAGGCAGTAGTTCCCTGTAAATGTCATAAGTGGAAAAGTTATAGAAAGAGAAGACTATACTAGTGCGCTAGGTAGTTAGGACTGTTGTCCTCTTTTAATCTGAATTTATTTGTTACCCATTATCTCCTCCAAAAATGCACTCTAGAGATAACAGTACTTACAGCCCTAGTGCTTGTCTTCCTTGTACATTACAGGCATAAATTGTGAAGCTTTTAAAATGATAGATGGCCAAAATTAACTGCAGTGATAGAGAATCTTCTGTCTGAATGACATTTGACTACATAACACTAAAAAACAGTAATATGAGTTGCATCTTCTATTGCAGTAGCACAGAGCCTTGGAGAAACAAAAATATTTTTAAAAAGTACACACATTATTGTCAACAGTTTATCTCAAACTTGGTGCACAAAACAAAAGCCAGCTTCTATCCATGGCAAGTAACTTTTTTCCCTGGTATTTGTTAGTATCTTTCAATCTGTAACCAAGGAGTATTCCTACAGAGACCAATGGGAGCAATGGCTCTGGGTATGACTTTGTATAGCAGAGCCCTAAGAGGTCATCAGCAAGCAGTGAGGCCTTGTCTATGCTAGAAAAGATTTTGCACTTTAACAATACTGGTATAGTTAAATCTGCAAAGCCCCCTACTGTGGATGCAGTTATACCAGCATAAAAGTGCTTATTTCAGGCTGGGAAGCAAAATAAGCTACACTAGTTTAACTGCTTCCACTCTTGCACTTACATTGGTATAACTATATAGGTAAAAAATTGCATCCCTAACCAAAGGTTAAATCAGTATAAATTTTTCTAGTGTAGACGAGACCTAGTAACTCCTGACTCAGTTTTCACAGATGCCCGAGGGAAGGAAACACTATAAAGTCAGCTACTGGGGAGAGTGCGGGGGGCTGAACTAAAGGGAGAATGCCTTGTGGAGGAAGGTTTGCTATCTGGCCACTTTGGTGCTCAGGTCATGCTCAAGTGTTGGGTTCTTCTTGGCTTGATTTCTGGTCATGTAAAATTAGTGTTTTTGTTTTCACAGCTATTGTGCTCTGAAGGGGGAAGAGAAACACAGGTGGCTTGAGTTATATTTGTCTGTTCAACCAGTTGAATCACTCCACCAGCTTACACTTGTTTCCTTAACTTCTGTTTTTTCCAGGAGCATCTTCATGCAATGGGCCTGAACACATTTCACCAACACAAGTGAAGTAAGCCACAGGAGTACAAGCCCTGTAAGGTAAGGAAAATCACTATATTACAGACTGGAATATTGAAGCATGGAAGCCAAGTGACTTACCCAGGATCAGAGTATTCCTAAATTGGAATTTTCATCTTCTGTGACTGTCCAGGGCTTTATAAACGAAGTCCTACTCAACTCCATTTAACATGTCATTTACATTGGTAAATCCTTATAGCTTTTATTCAGAAAGGTAGTCCCACTGTAGTCCATACCGTAGTCACTATGTAAAGCTGTAGGATCAAGCATATGGATCGCTTTCAGCTTTAGAACATCTTTAGCTTATGAAACAACAAGGTTGCTTCACAAGGTAGCATGGCTGAAAACTAAGGATTACTACATTGGAAGCCAATCGGGTATATTAGAGACAGTAATTGAGTAGATTATTTATAAGGCCTGTTTTCTGACCTTCCTTACAGAAACGGAATAAAGAGGGAGACCATAACTGCCTATTCCTAAATGAGTCAGAACAGTAGCAGAGACCATCATTTGTCACCAAAAGAAAATATACCATTCAACACTCATAAACCTCAGTATGCTGCCTGCTCACAAGAACAAAGCAGGCAAGTTACCTGCTAATACTCCATTTAAAATACAAGTAAGCCACACTATTATACCTGCCTTTCCAATTTACTTGGATGCGGGTTTCTTCTATATGCTTGAAAGAGACTACAGGTCACAACTCTGTCCTGACAAACTCTAGCAGACTACTCTGCTAGAGACAAAGTAGCAGAAACACCATGACAATAAAATTCTGGTATTGGCATCTTGACCCTTTGTTTCAGGAACGTGAAATAAAACAGTGACAAAACAATTGTCTGGTGCAGTTTCAAGGTGGGGAACAGCCAACATGTCTTTGGGTAGGGAAGAAAACAATGCCTAAATTTCTGTAATCGTATGTAATCTTGTGTTAAGTACAGTGTGCCTTCAGAGGCCATGTTCACACTTATTTATATTTGGATATGGATGCTAGATGGAAGTGGAAAAAATAAAAAAAGGAGTGTCTGCTTTGGTAGCCAATCCTATGAGTATTTAGTGATCCTGCAAGTAGTTGACCATAGGCCATGTGGGCAGGGCTGTCAAGGTGTTCTGACTTTGATTTCTGGTTGACACACACTGCAAAAGCCACTGTTCCAAGAGAGTGAGATATTTTCAGAAATGTTTTAAAAATAAGGCCAAATGAGAGCTCACTCAAAATAAGAATCTCAGCAGGTCTTTCTTTGTGGTTTGTCTGTCTATCTTAGGTGTTTATATTGCCCCCATCACCATAGTATCTGAGCACTTCACAGTCCTTCATATGTTTAGCCTCACAACACCCACGTTTTACAGATGTAGAACTGAGGCACAGAGACTTGCCTATGATACATAGGGAGACTGTGACAGAGCAGAGACTTAAACCCAGGTCTCTGGAGTCCTCAGCTAGTGCCCTATTCAGTGGGCCATCCTTCTTTATTTGGTTAGTATGCTGACCCCAAAGACCTGCTACATAATATCTTGTGACCACCAGAGACTCATAACAGCAGATTATCCTGGGCCTGATCATGCTCCTATTCTAGCAATCTGAGTCTGGGATCATGCCTGATGTTTCATGACGAGTAGGACGGCAGATTTGTCACATCATTTTTTTAAAATAAAAAATCACAGAGAAGTTGTGAAAAGAAAAGGAGGACTTGTGGCACCTTAGAGACTAACACATTTATTTGAGCATGAGCTTTCATGAGCTACAGCTGTAGCTCACGAAAGCTCATGCTCAAATAAATTGGTGAGTCTCTAAGGTGCCACAAGTCCTCCTTTTCTTTTTGCGAATACAGACTAACACGGCTGTTACTCTGAAACCTGTCATTGTGCAAGGCACTGCATTTAGCCGTATGGAGTGGAAATCTATCAACTGCATGAAAAAACTTGTACAGAGAAGTTGTGGTAAATTTAATGAAAGTCACGGGTTTAGTGACTGCTCAGTGATTTTTTTATGAAAAAATGCACTGGCAAATGAGGGGGGTACTGCCTACCTGAAACAGCATCCTCCATCCTGGCATCGCAACCCCAATCATGGCCTCGGTGGGGCCAAGGGTTGTGGGGGTGAGGGCACAGCTGGAGAGTGCGCCTGCCCCACATTCACCTCAAGCAGCAGCAGCTCCTGTGTTCCACAGGGCTAGGCCCTAGGGTTGAGAGTGAGCTGCTCCAGAGTCACCTTGGGCACAGACAGGGCCAGCTCCTGATGGAGGGATAGCCAGGCCAAACCTGAGTGGTGCTGCAATCCTGCATTCCTGGTCACAATGCCCAGCCCACAGGATAGGAGCCACTGCTGCAGGGTGAGTCAGTCTCTGTCTCTCACATTCACACACACACACACCATGGATAAATAGGAAAATCCATACTATTCATGACTCCCCCATCCCCCACCACTGTGACAGTCCTGCAGCCATAATCATGAGTTACTCAATATCTCATTCTGATTCCTTATGCTATTGTAACCCTTCTGCCAGGTGGAGCCGGCAGCAACCAGGGTCAGGTTCTATATCTAGGGGTTCCTTTCTAATAGAACCATGGAAACATTGATACAACACAGAACCGGCTCAAGCCCCTACCCGATAATCTGGGAAATGTACACACCACCCCTGGACGCCTCTGAGAGGCAATACTTCCCCATTCGCAAGCACAGAGTCTGAGTGTAGAAAAGAAACTTTTAATAAAAGGAGGGAAGTAACTGGGTGTTAATTTGGGAAAACGAGGCAAACAGAGTTCATAAACATAAACCACGAGTAAAAGACCCACCCTCAAATAGGTTGGGCAGTGTCTTTTCCCCTCAGATTCTTAAATCCAGCAACCCAAAAGTCCCTTTCACATGCCCGACACTTCTCTGCACCCCACTCACAGTTGCTGTCCCTGGTCAGTACAGACCCAGAGTTCAGAGGTGTATCTACAGAGTTCACCTCCCCCCTGGGTGGGGTAAAGAGAGACCTTATTTGCTCCACTGCTCAAGCACTCATTTGCTGCCCCTCTCTGTCAGCCACTCTGCTGGCTGCTCAGCGCAGCTGTCCACCTGCGCCCTGATGGCTGCCTGCTCACCACACCTCTCCATCAGCCGGCCCCATCGTGCCCCTCCACTGCACCAGCCACTCCCGTTCACCAGCTGACTGTCAGTCACCTTCTGCTGCCACCTGCCTCTCTGCTGTGACCTCTGCACATCAATCTCTTAGTAATTTTCTGCAAGCTGGGCAGAAACACTGCCCTTTCTCAAGTTATTTCAGCTCTCAGTGATTTTTATCTCTTAGCAGGCAGAGCCAAAACACAGTCCTACCACAACTGATTTCAGCTTTGATAGGGCATTTAACATAAGAAAGAGGTTCCTACTGAAGCCTATTTAGCTCTGTTCTTTGAACAGTATGGAGTAACAGGTTAAACCAGTCTAGGTAGGACCCTTGATGAGGGTGTGCAGCCTCCTGGGTGGGGATTCCTGTCCCCACCTGTGATAAATGAAGGAGGGGGGTAGCTCCCTTTTATGAACACCCAGCCAGCCAGTTAGCTATAAAATCCTTGTTCGTAGCTGTTCTCTACTTGGTTTACCTAAAAAGAGTTTAAAAAGTCCATAGATAAAGGGAAGGGAGTAGGCACCTGACCAAAAGAGCCAATGGGAAGACTAGAACTTCCTAAAAATTGGGGGGGGGGAAAATTCCCCTTTGTCTGTCTGTTGTTGTTCTCCAGAGAGAGGTGACAGGGCTGGAACTATGCTGTAAAAAGCTTGTGCCAGGTATGAAAATCATCAAATCATACCTAGAAACTACTTATTTGAAACCCCAGATATGTAAGTAGATCAGGAAATGTCTAGGAAGACACGATTAAGTTTCTCTCTTTTATTTCTTTATGGCTTGTGGACTCCTCTGTGCTAACCCCAGGTGCTTTTGTTTTGCTGGTAACCTTTAAATTGGACATCAAGAGCGATCTTAATGCTTAATCCTTGTAATTGTTTTTTTTAATCTAGCAAAAAGCCTAAATTCCAAATGTATTTTCTTTCTTTTTTGTTTTTAATAAAATTTACTTTTTTTTTTTTTTTAAAGAACAGGATTGGATTTTTGTGTCCTAAGAGGTTTGTGCATATGATGTTTAATTAGCTGGTGGCAACAGCTGATTTTCTTTGTTTTCTTTCTCAGCTCTTCCCGGTAGGGGGTGGGTGAAAGGACTTGAGGTATCGCACAGGAAAGAATTTGCAGGTATGCCTTCCTGGATGCCAAAAAGGGGTTTTTGTACTTGGGTGGTGGCAGCATCTACCCCTACAAGGTCAGAGAGAAGCTGTAACCTTTGGGGGTTTAATACAAGTCTGGAGTGGTCAGTATTAAATTTTAGAATCCTTGCAGGTGCCCACTTTCTGCACTCAAAGTGCCAGAGTGGGGAATCATCCCTGACACCATCCTCTTACTTTCACAGGGCTCTGGCATTGGAGCCCCTGGCTTAACGACATCCTTTCAGCTGAAGGTGACCCCCCTCATTTGGGACAGGTTAAGTACAGTCCTGCTTCCCTGTACTCCCCCAATAATTACAACATTTTGGTAACAGCATTTCACTACCCCTGCATTCAGTACTAAAGTGATTTGTAACCAACACCCACCAAAATTGATTACTTTGACACTGCTCTATGTGCTGAATATCTAAGCAGAGCAGGAGCAAACTGTATTTGCATCCGATGAAGTGAGCTGTAGCTCACGAAAGCTCATGCTCAAATAAATTGGTTAGTCTCTAAGGTGCCACAAGTACTCCTTTTCTTTTTGCAAATACAGACTAACACGGCTGTTACTCTGAAACCTGTATTTACATAAACACACCCAAGTCTCTCTCTCTCCCAGCTAGTTGTCCGGGAAGCATTCATTCAGACCCTGCTTACACTATGAAAATAGGTTTTTACTACTGAAAGATAAAAACAAGAATCTAGCAGACAGCGTAGTAGCATATCACATTAGTAAATCCCTAACAATGCTTATTTATCACTATTGTATTTAAAATTCTACAGCCACAGAAATACTGAGATTGTATGAGATGACAAATGCAGACAAACAGTATGATAACCTGGAATGATACAGTACTCTAGAAATGAGACTAGTTACCGTGGATTGCTTTTAGGTCCCTCTAGTGATGTCCTCCTGTGCAGACCTGAACTAAGGGAAAATGGGGGCGCAAAAATATATTGTAGATAGAAAAGTGAGTTAAGTTTCAGAGCATGTGGATTGCAGCCAAGGTGTTGATTTGTTTCCAGTCAGAATAGCACATCCTCAGAGACAGTTCTCAACTCCCTGGAGGAACAGATGAAGGAAGACTTCCTTTAAGCACTCAGAAAGTTTGAATGTATACCACATGCGTATTTATATCTGGAATGATGTCAACAGACCGTTCATGTTAATGATTGTTTGCTTGCAAGTGATAGCAATGCTGAAAACCTAGATATGTATCTGTGGTTTATACTGTAGACCATTTTCTTCAAGAATCAATACAACAATTCATACAAAAAGGGATAGCTCAGTGGTTTGAGCATTGGCCTGCTAAACCCAGGGTTGTGAGTTCAATCCTTGAGGGGGCCATTTAGGGATCTGGGGCAACTATGGGGGATTAGTCCTGCTTTGAATAGGGGGTTGGACTAGATGACCTCCTGAGGTCCCTTCCAACCCTGATATTCTATGATTAAGGGGGAGGGATAGCTCAGTGGTTTGAGCATTGGCCTGCTAAACCCAGGGTTGTGA